AAACCCATAGACAACTTAAGAATAAATGGATGCACACAAAAATACCTGTAGACAAGGCCAATTTCTAAGCTTAAATATCCCAACAAACAACAAACTACTACAATGACAATTCAGTCTGTTCCGACTAAAAGGATTGGAGTTCAACTAAATTGATTCTCATAAAGCATTGCACTCTACCTACCAATTCATTAGCCGGCATTAGCAAAAGGAAAATATAGAGACAGACAGACAGTTACTTAAACTTCATATCTGAATGTATGTACAATTTTCATTTTGCATTGACTCGGTATCCTGAAATGTGCCCCAAATAGATAGAGAAGTGAGAGCGACGACAATAAGGAGCAGAGATGAGAATAAGCCACGTACCTGCAAACTAAAATCCTCTTTCTCAAAATCCTCTTTCTCCAAATAACAAACGGCAAACTCAAGTGACTGCTGCGCCAACGCAACAACAACTGGCTCCACATGGTCCACTGATCAAGGTAAAACATCAGAACATTCAAATTCTACATCAGCAATCACAATTTCATGGATGCTCTAATTCAACATACTTAAAAGAAGCAACCGCATAAAACATAATCCGACAAAATTCACTCTCTCAAATGAGTACTCCCAGCAAAAGAAGCACTTCATCATTGCTCAGCTCATTAGAACTACTAATCCGCTCCGGAAGCTCCACACCAACAACAAGGCCCTCCCCGTCCCTAATCGCTATCGAAAGAGACGCACCACGCAGCACCAACACATCAGCGCCCGAAGCCTCCGTCTCAACAAGAACGCAACCTCCACATGCCAACCAATAAGCAAAGGCCAGAGGCCCAAAGTACCTGACAGAGATCGAGAAGCGAAGGCGACGGCGGAGGCGACGGAGAAGACGGCCTGAACCTGCGAGTCGGTCCAGGAACGAAGCCTCGGCCTCCGATCATCTCCAATCGGCTCCACCCCGCGCCTGAGGACCGAACACAGGACCTCGAGCCCCGCCCTCGCCGAGGCACCGGAGGAGCGGAGCTTGAGCAGGAGATCGGCCCGGCAGCCGTCGTCGGAGAGCGACTCCAGGAACTTCGCCACGTGCTGACGCTTCGGATGCTGCTGCTGCTGCGGCTGCTGCTCCTGTTCCTGTTCCTCCTGCTGTTGCAGATGCTGATGCTGATGCGACGGAGGCTCCGGCTCCATCGCCGCCGATCGGCGATCGGGGATCCTCCCCGTCCACCACCAACTTCGCCGGAAGCGACGGCCGATGCGTACGTACGGACCGGGAGAGGTGCGTCGAGTGGGAGAAGTGTAAGAGAGTTTGGAGGGGGGGGTTTTTAGAAGGAAAGGAAGGAAGGAAGGAAGGAGATGGGTGGGAAGTGGGGGGGTGCTCGAGATTTAAGGCGGTGTGGAAAATGAACAGAAAATTTGTATGGTCTTTTTTATTATTTTGGGTTTTCTGGGGCCTTTTGAGTGCTTTTCTTGGCTTGCTTCCCAAGTGAGGGAGACACACAAGAGATTCTCTGCAACTTTTTCCAAATTCTTTGATGAAAGGGCCAAGGAAAAGAAAAGAATATAGTATTGATTTAGGTATCAGTAGTTGTAGGAGCTACGCGTAAAAACTAAATTTACCAAAGTATGAATACGATTGATTGGTGTGAAAATGAAAATTCGCGGACACCGTGCAAGAGATATTGTGTATTGTAAATAATAATATGTCATCTCTGAAATGCATGTAAACGATAGAAGCTCTCGTTTGCTTATTGATACGAGAAAAAATTCTAATCGTATCCTTATATCGAGACGAAATATATTTCTTAAATACAAATGAGTTACGATCACATAGTAGAATCATGGAAAAGAGGGAAGAAGAACGAGGGGGCGATAAATCAGTACGTGTTTTGTCACCTCATGGAGAAAGCACCAAAACCCTTTCTTGCAATGAGGAAAGTCCGATTCTTCCGATCTACGATACTAGGAAGCACACTCAGAGGCGATACTTATAGAATGTGCGTAAAGTTTCTGGGGAAATTTCCAAATAAGAGTCTAAAGTGCCTTCATTTTCTCAAATAAGGGTCTAAAGTGGATCTTGTCTCAAATAAAGGCTTGAAATGCTCATATTTTATCAAATAAAGATCTGAAGTTGATTTTGTTTCAAATAAAAGCCTGAAGTGTTATTATTTTCTCAAAGAAGGGTCTGATCTCCCCAACTAATTGAGGGCATTTTCGTCCTTTTGTTATATTTTTATTTTTTTTCCTTTTTTCTTTTCTTCTTTTCCATTTTTTTTCTTCGTCACCGGCCATTGGGCAACCCTCGCCAACCACTAGGCGAGAGCCCGGCCGGCCGTTGGCAAGGGTCGCCTTGCCCAGGCCCTCTCCGGCCACGAGCAAGGCGACCCATGCCCGGATCAGGCGAAGGCCGCCCTCGCCCTCACCAGTGACCAGCGGCCTCGTCTAGGTAGGGCAAACTGGCGAGGGCAACCCTTGCTAGATCTGGGTGTGGAGTGCCTCACTCGTGGCCGGCGAGGGCCACAACCCTTGTCAACGACCGACCGGGCCCTCGCCCAGTGGCTGGCGAAGGTCGCCGGCAACTGAGGAAAAAACAAGAAATGGAAAAAAAGACATGGAAAAGAAGAAAAGAAAAAAGGAAAAAATAAAATAAAATGACGAAAATGCCCTTGATTAGTTGTTGAGGTTAGGCCCTTTTTCGAAAAAATAATGGAACGTCATGTTCTTATTTGAGAAAATGAGAGCACTTCATGCTCTTATTGAGACAAGATCCATTTCAAGCTCTTATTTAAGAAAATGAAGGCACTTCGGATCCTTATTTGGAAATTTCTCAAGTTTCTAACAAGATCCTTCGACCCTAATGCCAATTAATTAGAGCTGATGTGACTGTTAGACCATGTGAGAGTATGACGTGGCGAAGAATTTTGTCTCCGGGAACAAGCCACCACAGGAAAATGACAGCAATTTTTGTCTCCGTGGGCAAGCCGCCATGGGGGCTCGATTTCGATCGTCGCTTCAGCTCGAATTAACCAGAATAGATGTCCGAGGGATTTGATAAGAAAATTTATGAACATTCAAGGATCTCATTACACGAATTAAAGATTAAGAATTTGATTAAAAAAGTACAAAGTCAAGGGACAAAAAGTGAAATTATCCTTTACTTTACGGCTACTAACAATGTGACATCTTTCTACTACTTCTCCATACGATTACAAAGTTTTCATATATAAAAATAAGAATCGGTATATCGATGTTATACTACATGAATTTTCCGCGGTGCCAAGTGATTTTTTGTTATTATAATCATCATACTTATCAATGATCAGTGAACTTTATTTAGTTTTTTTAAGAAAAAGTAACTTTTAACTTATCAGTATCCAATAACTATCACATGTGATCAGCAACTCTTCATATATAAAAAATAATAGAATCTAGTAACCATAACAAAGAAATATTTAACATCATACTCATCAATGACCAGTGAACTTTATCTAATTTTCTTAAGAAAAAGTAACTTTTAACTTATCAGCATTCAATAACTATCGCATATGATTAGTAACTTTTTTAACATCGAGCTTTGATTATTAAAGTCAAGTTGAGCTCGAGCTTTGATCCGTGTTGACTCGACTCGTCTCGATTACATCTCAATTATTCCGCAATTAGTAACCTTCACACGCGGGTGGTAACTTTATATAGATTGGGAAGTAGCGAAATATTAGTAATCTACGTAAAACTATTTTTCACTATGGTTAATAATTTTCCATATTGAAACTCTCGTTCTTAACCCACCCAGACAATGCTGAGTATTTGAAGCTAAATAGAGAAAATCCCTACGCCACCCTCACGGGCCTTGTCAACAATAAACATAGTTTACTTTTTTACCAGCAAAGGTAAACTCCGGTCCTCTGAAATACAACACTAATTTTATGGATCGTATAAGACGCAAGCCTAAGCCCGATTGAGCTAGGAGTGAGCATGATCCGGTTCTAGAGCTAGAACTAGGAATCGAACCGGGGAGAACGGTTCCAGAAAACCTGAAGTCCGGAACCGAACAGGTCTATCCTAGAATCGGCTCTGGACTGTTCCCAAGCGGAACCCAAACCGTTGTTCATCCTTAGATTGAGCGGCCCGCATATGGAATCATACGAGCTTGTTTGCACTTTGTGATGTGATCGAACCCGTGCCATGCGCTTCCCCCCCTTGTAGAGAAAGCAAAAATCCATGGTGATTGAGCTTTTCCGTCCATCCTTCCATACGGGCGAAATTTTATATTTTCCGTTACGCAATATCGCGTCTTTCATATGCCATACTAAGTATAGCTCTCTAATCCGATCAAAAGGCGGGCTATATACGATGAGTTCGAGACTTATGGATGTCGCGTCAAACACAACATTGTCCTAGTACACATCGGACCAAAGTTACGGACAGCATTTCGTGATCGCTTAGGATTGTCAATACATCTTGAACCGAAACCTCCGTAACCATAGACCAATTAATCCTCTGCAACATACATTCAGCAGATGGCATTCTACCATCTCATGGACAAATTACAAGAGACGAAGTTCTGTAATGTCCCAAACTCCCACAAACGCAACGGAAGTACAGTTATCAGGAGGAATTTATTTTTGAAAAGAAAAACGTGATGGAAAGAGGAGGGGGAGAAATGTCAACTATGTGAATGTATAGTTAAAAGTAAGGGGACGGAGTAGGCGGCGGCGGCGTGAATGCCGGGATTGGTGGCACGGGGAATGACCGCATCGGCGGGTGAGGTGGCAATGGGGGGAGGGGGGAAGGGAAAAAAGGTGGCTGTGAAGCAGAAGGCGGTCGTGATGGCGAAGGAATTAGTGGTTGTGGCAATGGAGGGAACGGGAAATATGCCGATGGTGGTGGCGTAGTAACTTCCGGTGTTGGTGGGAAACGAAATGGTGGCAACGGCGGGAGAGGCAGCAGTGGCGGGAGTGGCAGCTCTGGAGGGAGAGGGAAACGGAACGTAGGTGGCAGTGAAGTAGATGGCGGTAGTGATGGCGAAGGAATTGGTGGCTGTGGCAATGGTGGGAAATGAAATGGTGACAATGGCCGGAGAGGTGGCAGTGGCGGGAGAGGCGGCAACGGAGGGCGAGGGGAATAGAAATAGGGTGGCACCGTCGTTGATTCCGGATTTATCAAGCCTTTCTTGGAGCCAGATTCTACGAGACCTCTCCGGGTCGGTTTTCGGGCACATGAGCTCGGTTGTTCCCGGGGCGTGAAGGCAAGAGCTCCTACGGAGAGTACTTGAGGTTCTTGCATATTCAACTTGAGACGAAGCAAAGCTCGTGATGACACCGCATCACAACCTGGATTGCTGCTTTTGATCAGCTTCACCGTGCATCCCTGGATTTTCTCGGCATCTTCGCTCGTCAAAGGAGGCAGACGGACCTCAAAGTTGCCGCGCTCATCCGTGGTCACCTCTTTTCGGAAACCCAAGTCTGTGCATTCTAGCAGAACAGATGCACCTGCATATATGCACACAAGTTGAATCTGTTTTCAAGACAAATTGCAACTGATACACAAAACTCAGAGAACCATGAAAGAGTTTGCAATGACTCTCTTCTTTTTGTGCTAGGATGACCAATTTTGGACCTGAAATGAAGTGGCTGATCCTAGAGAAGCCTTGGTTGAAGCATGGGGCGCAGTGGACAGTGCCCACAACCTGTGCAGAAGGGAGGCTCTCCCTGCGGGCAGCCCCGGTACCGTGAAATAGCCCGAGACCGAGCAAGAGCAATGTTATCATAGACCAAGGCATTGGCATTGTGACCTACTCTCAATTCATCTCAGAGCATTCCCTTCTTGGGTCCTATATACAGAGCTCCTGATGACCTTGTGACAGATTTAAAGACAACGAAGAGAGGGTTTTTGCCTGATTGGCTCTTTGTTGCTGTCTGGATGTGACTCGAGGTATCCATCAAGAGCCAAGCTCACATAGGAAGCCGGTTGGTTAATCAGTTTGCTCCTTTGAACTCATCGTTTCCTTGATATTGGAAATGTAGGTCAGAAAAAGCTCGATCCAGTCCGGACGCAGATGGCCTGCCCTCCTCCGCAGCGGATCTAGCGGGGCGAGAATTTAGTCTAGCACGCGAAAGCTGACCCGCGCTATACCATCCACCCGACATCAGAACGGACAAACAGGAGAGTTAATTCGGGGTGGAAAAGGTAGAATTCAAGATGCGCTTTAGTATATGCTTTGGTTTTATTGTTTTGCTCACAGATTTCATTGATCCTTGAAGTAATCTCCATCCCAACAATGATGAAAGTTTCGTTTTTGGCGATACACAGTAATGCCATATATATGATGTCCGGTTGCATTTGCGCAGTACGACGCTCCAAATTTGGCAATCCCTCGTCGTGCTTTCTGTACTTAGCAGGCTGTCGCCATCCAAAGCAATGATACATCTCACCAAGGTAGAGAAAACAAACATCTACACATGGATCCAAACGATGAAGTTGTTTCGGCTTCTTAGGGTTCGTTCGTTTTGTGGAAAATCCACGTTTTGGAAAACAATTTCCCAGCTTAAAATTAGGGGTAAGCATTGTCCGGATGGGCAGTTTCCACCTTGAAACTGGGAACCGCCCACTAAGGACCGATTCCAAAAAATTGAAACCAGGAACCGCCCGTTGGTTCTATGATCCACCCGGGAACCGGTTGAAATGTCTCCAACAAATTCATACGTTGCACTGGCAATTTTCAAACTGAAAATCAAGAACTTATTCTCATCTAGGTACTGCATGCATTCAAGTGAAACAACAGAATCATACGTACCACAAGACACAATAGCACAAACCAACTACTGCAGAAAAAAAAAAGATTCATTTTTAGGAAAAAATGTTCTATTTGATGTGCTAAATTGGGGTAAGAAGGATTTGGAGATGGTCTTGAAGATCTTCAAGTTAATAACCAACCATTAGCACTAGCAGAGAAAAAGAAAAAAAAACAAGATTTTCGAAATTTATTTTACTCTATTAGAAGTTTAGTCCACAACAATTTTTATCTTAATTAATTCAATATATGCTTCATGCAGGGGAAATGCCACCATTGAAAAAGATGCTTCCATAAAACAAGAAAGGAAGGCAAGAGACTAAAAATACACCAGTATAACTCTTAAGTGAAGACTAGCTAAAAGAATGGCAGAAGAAAACCAAGAGACAGAGACAGTGAGAAGGGAACCAATTGAATGTGATTAGCAGTGACGTTGTTGGGGTAATAAGCTGCCATTATCAGCTGCTTCTGTACTAGTCTGGTCAAGTGGGCGGTTCCACACCCAGAACCAGAAACCGGACCGGTACTCACCGGTTCAAATAAATTGGAACCGGAAAACGGACCGGTCCCAATAGAAACCGTCGGTTCTGGGCCGGTTTGATCCACTTCTAGGTGGTTCCTGATTCCTTTGCACACTCCTACTTGAAATGATTAGTCAGTGAAAAATGTTTTATTTATTTTCGTCGGCGATGAAAATATTTGACAAGTTACATGCTATAGCTTTGCGAACACATCAAGAGGAGGTGCAATAATTTGGACGAAATGGAACAAGCAGTAGAAAATATTTGTACCTATTTTTCAATATGTATGGGCCTATTTTTATATTTGGGATTTGGCGGCGATGCCTCATTGTGAAGATCTGCTATTTTGTTTGCTTCCTCTTATGTCCAGTATTTGCTCAATCTAGAACCTCTTATGTCCAGTATTTGCTAAATCTAGAAGCTCTTGCTCAATCTCGAAGCTCTTGATTCTGTTGGTGTTATTGGGTGGTCTTAGGCCTCTCTCACTCTAAGGCTGCGTTTGGTCGTCCGAATTTCTAACTAAGATAGGATTGGATAAGATAAAATATGAAATCCAAGGGATTTGCTATATCTTATTTATTGTTGGTGAATCGTAGTAATAAAGCCAGATATTTTTAAATATTTTTATGTCCATTATTTGCTATGAACGTTATATCAATGTAAATGAACCTAAAAATTGCACAAACGGAGATGATAAAAATTTCTCACGACATTCATACCTATTTCATATTTATTTATATTTTTATTATTTTTCCCTCTATTTTTTCATTATTTTCTTTTTCATTTCTTCCCCTTCCATCATTCTCTAATAAAATTTTATTAAATAGTAAACTATACAAATATGCCTAAAATATGTAATAAATATAAAAAATAAATGTGTATATATATATGAAATTTATATCATCAGATAGAACGAAATTTGAATATATAAATAAAAACAAGAATAAAAAAACGAATTTATTGTTATTTTTTTTTATTTTGAATTTTTTATATTAAAATTCAAGTATTATTTATATTCAAATATTATTTTAATTTTATTAATTTAACAAGTTTGTTATTTGAGAATAATAACTTTTATATTATGAATATTAGAAATCCTATCCACCTTTATCCCACCTACCCCAAGGAATAATTTTATTCGGGCTATATCCCTCCTATATCCGACTTTATCCTATCTTGAGCAAGCACCAAACACGGGATAAGATAAAATTTATCCTATCCCGAATTTTATCCTAACTATCAAACGTAGCCTAAAAGTTAACTCAGAAAGTGAATCTTTCCTTCACACTTATAAACCGACCACTAGCCCCTTCCACAACCGATATGGGATAACCTCAACAATCTCCCCTCACACATCAGATCCTGGATCGGAGTCACAACAACCCGTATCTCTCCCATGTGAGAGTTGAGTCTAGATTCGTTGGCAACCTGGGCTCTGATACTCATAGTAAGTGGTCTTGAACCTCTCTCACCCCAAAAGCTAGCTCAAAATGTAAGGCTTTCCCTCACACTTATAAATCAACTACCAGCCCCTTTCATAACCGATGTGGGACAACCTCAACAGTGTTCTAGGTAGTGTTTTGAGGAATTGGGAAAATGCGATTCCACGTGTGAAGTTGGGAAGCAGAAGAAGAGAAGAAGAAGAGGAAAAGGAAAAAGAAAGAAACCCCAAAACCAAAGCCATTTTTCGGTTCGGTTTTTCTGTGGTTCGGGTCTAAAGAGGCACGAAACCTTCGCGGGTATATGTTGATGCCTGAATTGTTGACACCCCTACGGAGGGACCGATTCCAGAAAACCTAGAATCGAGAATTGAATATGTTACTCTAGAATAGGCTATGGCTAGTTCCCAGGCTGAATCTGTATCGCTACTCACTCCTAAAATGAGTGACCCAAGTTTGAGATTACATGAGCTTGTTTCCATTTTACGGTGCGGAATCGATCATGTGTCATGTGTCTTTTAACCCACAAGTCAAAAACTTAAGACTAGCCAATTCCAAAATTAATATATATGGTTTTACCTAGGTGAGAAAATGACACAAATGGTTCCTGAAATTTGGCTTAATGTGCAATGTGGCCTCTGAACTTTCAATTTGTTCAATGTGGTCCCTAAATTTTAGCCCAATGTGCAATGTGGTCTCTGAACTTTAATTTGTTCAATATGGTCCCTGAACTTTGGTACATATTCAAACTAGTCCATAGACTATATGAAAATGTTCAATATTGTCCTTCAATTAATTTAAGTTCAGGGACAACATTGAATATATTTATATAGCCAAGGACTAGTTTGAACATGTTCCAAAAGTTCATGGATCACATTGCACATTGGCATAAAGTTCAGGGATCACATTAAACAAATTGAAAGTTTAGGGGTTACATTGCACATTGGGTCAAATTTCAGAGACCATTTGTGTCATTATTCCTACCCAAATAGAGAATCCGTGGTAATTCACCTTTTCCATCTATGTTCATACGAGGAGAAAAAAATTTTCTCCTTGTTTCGTAATATCACTGCATTCATATGGCATATTCAGTCTAGGTCTCTAATCCGATCAAAAGGCAAGCTATGTACAATGAGTTTGAGACTTACAAATCACATCAAACACAGCATTGGACCTGTTTGGTTCAACATTTGAAAGCTACTTTGGGTGTCTAAAGTCCCTTGAGCAAATGTAAACTTGTTTGGCAAATTTTTTCGCAAGTTTTGAGGAGATGCAATTGCATCTCCAAAGCTTGGAAAGGGCCTTTGGCTGAATGGAGTCCATGAGGAGCCCTGAGAAGTTGCATTTTTGGAATGCAATTGAATACTGTTCATCACCACTGTTCATCATCTTCCCAAGCAGCTAGTCTGGCGCCAGCGACCGCCGCCTGGGGGTCGCGCGACCTCAGGCCGCCTCGCCCGAGGTAAGGCGAGGCTGGCCGGCGACCAGATCTGGCTGTCGGCGGTTAGCCGATGACCAGATCTCGCCGGCGGTGGTGGTCGGTAGGCCAGCTTTTTTTTTTTTTAAATATCAGTAAAAGTCTTTAACAAATAATTTTTACCAAACGGTATTTAGGCCAAAGTTGCTTTCAAATGTGATTTTAAAATACAAATTACCAAACACTACTTGCATTTTGAAAAACCCTTTTAGTTCGAAGGTCTTTGCATTTTGCCAAATGCATTCTCCAAAAATCGAACCAAACAAGCCCATTGTACCCGTTCACATCAAACCAGATTTACAGGCAGCACTTCGCAATCTACTACGATTATTTGTGCATTCTGAACAGAAACTGCTCTAACCACAGGACAATTATTCCTCTGCAACGTACATACAACAGACGGGATTCTATCATCTGATGAACAAATTACAAGAGACAAAGCTCTGTAATGGCCCAAACTCCCGCAAATCCAATAAAAGTACAGTGATCGGGAGGAATTTATCTTTTGAGAAGAAAAAGGTTATGGAGAAAGTAGAGGGAGAAATTGTTACCTATATGAATGTATAGTTCAATCAAGGGTGTCTCTTTCGAAGAGTAGAAACAGGAGGGGCACTAAGGGGCAGAGGAGGTGGTGGGAATGTAGCCGTTGGAGGGATAGGAGGAGAAGGGAAGGATGGCGGAGTCGCGGCCGGCGGCTGCGGCGGGAGAGGTGGCGATGGGGGGACAGGGAAAGGGAACAAAGATGGCTGTGGAGTACGTCCCGGTAGTGGTGGCAAAGGGAATGGTGGTGGCGGAGTAAATCCCAATGTTGGTGGGAAAGGAATTGGTGGCAGTGGCGGGAGAGGCGGCAGGGACGGGAGTGGCGGTAATGGAGGTACAAGGAAAGGGAATGAGGGCAGCGGTGGCGGTGGCGGCATCATTAACCCCGGGACCGGTGGTGAAGTAGTAGAGGGCGGCGGCAGGGCCATTGCTGACTCTGAAATTGACGACCAAGGAGTGACGGTGGTGGATATACGAATGTTATTGGAGGGTAAAGATCTGGATGGGATGTAACAGGAGCGCGTCGAGCCGATTTCGGATGTATCGAGCCTTTCTTGGAACCGGATTCCAGGAGACCTCTCCGGGTCGGTTTTCGGGCACATGATGTCGGTTTTTCTCGGGGCATGAAGGTGAAAACTCCTGCAGAGAATACTTGAAGTCCTTGCCTTTTCGACTTGAGACGAAGCGAGGATGAAACTCCTGAGGACACCACATCACAACCTGGATTACCGCTTTTGATCAGCTTCACCATGCATCCCTGGATATTCTCGGCATCATCGCTCATCGAAGGAGGCAAACGGACCTTGAACTTGCCATGCGTATCCGTGGTCACCTCTTTTCGGAAACTCGAGTCCATGCATTCTATCAAAACAGATGCACCTACATATATGCACACAAGTCGAATCTGCTTTACGGCAAATTGCAACTGATACAGAAAACTCAGAGGACCATAAAAAGGTTTGCAATGACCGCCTCTTTTGTTTGTGCTAGGATGACCGGTTTTGGACCTGAAATGAAGTGGCTAGTCCTAGAGAAGCCTCGCTTGAAACATGGGTCACAGACGACAGTGCCGACAACCTATACAGACAGAAGGTCTCCTCGTGGGCAGCCCCAGAAGCACGAAATAGCTTGAAACTGAGCAAGAGCATGTCGGCCACGAAAATGGCACACCCAGGAACACCATGAACAGAAACCGAAATATGTAAATGGAGAAGTTACCAATCCGCACACCTGATTTGGAATCCATGGAACTTGACGCGGAATTGGTGACGGTTTCCGAACATGAACTCTAGTGCTTCTCCCCTATACCCTTTGCCGGAACACTGGCCTAATGAGATTGTCACTTACAAGAAAAAATTCCTCTCTAGATCCGTATGTGAGTCAAATTGTGCATCATCAGTTTAAGGAAGGAACTCGAGCACTATTTATAGAGTTTCGGCCACGGGCTCTCTCATTACGAGCAGGGCCATACTCGGCTCATACTAGCCAGCCTCATATTAGACTTATTAAGAATCCATCTATCTTACCTTTATTAGACCAAACTAATATAATGAATCTCAATTAATGAAGCCCACATTAGAAAATTCTTACGTAGCAATGTTACCAGAGACCAAGGCATTGGCAATGTGACTGACTCACAATTCAATCTCAGATCACTCTCTTCTTGTGTCCGATATAGACCAAAGTTTTTGCCTTTTTGGCTCCTTGTTGCTGTCTGGATGTGACTTGTGAGGTATACATGAAGAAGAAGCTCACACAGGGCAAAACCTACAAATCCGGTTATTAATTTGCTCCTCCGAACTCATCTTTTCCTCAACAACATTGATAGAGAAGGTCAGAAAAAGCACAACGGTCTCGGCTTACCGTTCTTACTCGACGCACTCTCTCGTGGTCAGTCATGTCGCAAGGAAGTATTTTCCCAGGTGCAATATCTAGTCCCGATGCAGATGGCCTGGCAGCCTCCTCCGAGCGAATCGAGAGGGGGCGCGGACCTTTAGTCTAGTACAAGAAAGCTGATTCGCCGCACCATCAAACCGACATCAAAACGGACCAAAAAGAAGGGTTGATTGGGGAAGGATGAGGTAGAATTCAGGAGTGCTCTAGCATAGGCTTTGGTTTCATTGTTTTGCTCACACCTGCTTGTCTTTGATCCTTAGTTTACAGTGAAAAGGTCAAATTACGAGCAAGTAGCTGCAGATTTCACTGATTCTTGAAGTAATCTCCATCCCTATAATGAAAAAAAGTGTCTTCTTGGCAGTGTTCAGCTTGCATTTCAAGTTACTAAAGCCTCATGAATTGAAGTTTACATATGATGCAATCCAATGTAAAAACAGTCAGTCTCCATCTTTGGCCTCAAAACCTTTTCGATGTTTCCCTTCTAATTATACTGTTAAACTGGACAAATATTTCGTCAGTGGGTCGTGGTTCTTGCATAAGGAGTGGCAATCCACTATGACTAAATTGCTCGATTGAAATTTTATGATAGGAGATATATTTTTATTTTACAATCTAATTGACAAATTACACGCTACGGATTTGCACACACATCCAAAGGAGGTGCAATAATTAGGACGAAACTTAAAAAACATAAAGCATGGAAAAGGCAATAGAAAATATTTGTACCTGTTTATTTTGTATGTATGCACTTATCATAGTTTAAGCAAGGAGAAATCTATCTCCGGAAGAGTCGTTGAGCTAGGGGTGAGCATGGTCCAGGTACTCCGGTTCCAAAGCTAGAACAGGGACCAAATTGGAGGGGCCGTTTTCAGAAAAAAACCTAGAATCGGGAACTAAACAAGTCTACCTTAAAATCGACTTTTGGCCGGTTCCCAGATTGAACCTTGACCATTGCTCGCCCCTAGATTGAGCGGCCCGGATAGGGAATTATACGAGCTTGTTTGCGGTTTGTGTTGTGGAATCAAATCTGTGACATGTGCCTTAAACACACATGCAAATCAGATACTTAAGACTATCCCCTCCCATAAGGTTAACAAATATAGTATCACCTAGATAGAGAAAACAAAAAGTCTATAGTAATGGGCCTTTTCCTTCGATGCTTCCATTCGGGGAGAAATTTTTTTCCTTGTTACGCAATATCACGGCTTTCATACGCCATATTAAAGTCTAGCTCTCTAATCCGATCAAAAGGCGGGTTATAGACGATGAGTTCGAGACTCGCGAGTATCACATCAAACACAACATTGTCCCATCAAACCAAATTTACAGACAGTGCTTCGCAATTGCTTAGGATTGTTATTACATTATGAACCGAAACCCCTGTAACCATGGGCCAATTATTCCTCTGCAACATACATTCAACAGATGGAATTCTACCATCTCATGGACAGATTACAAGAGACAGAGTTCTGTAACGTCCTGAACGCCCACAAATCCAATGGACGTAGGAGGAATCCTTATTTGAAAAGAAAAAGGTGGTGGAAATACTAGAACGAGAAATGTTACCTATGTGAATGTATGATGTATAGTACTATAGTTCGATCAAGGGGACATCTTTGGGAGAGTTGAAGCAGGAGGGGCATTTAAGGAGAGAGGAGATGGTGGCAATGGAGCTGTCGGAGGGAGAGGAGGAGAAGGGAAGGATGGTGGAGTCGGAGTCAGCGGCGGCATAATAAATCCTGGGGATGGTGGCGAGGGAAATGGTGACGGCGGCGGGAGAACTGGCGATGGGGGTACGGGGAAAGAGAATGAAGGAGGCGGAGTAAATCCTGATAGTGGCGGTGGAGTAAATCCTGGTAGTGGCGGCGGAGTAAATCTTGTTAGTGGCGGCGAAGGAATCGATGGTGGTGACAAAGCAGGGGCCGGGAAAGGAATCGATGGTGGTGACGACGGTGGGGCCGGGAAAGGAATCGATGGTGGTGACAACGGAGGGGCCGGGAAAGGAATCGATGGTGGCGGTGGAGTAAATCCAGGTGCGGGTGGGAAAGGAGTTGGTGGCGGCCTCGGGAAAGGCGGCAGTGGTGGGCGTGGAGCGACAGGGAAAGGGAAAAAGGGCGGCCGTGGCGGCGTCATGAACCCCAGGACCGGTGGCGAAGTGCCAGAGGGCACAACCTGTGCAGATGGGAGGTTCTCCTCGTGGGCTGCCCCGGAACCATGATATAGCCCGAAAGCGAGCGAGAGCAATGTTATCAGAGACCTCGAGAGCATTGTCATTATGACTGATTCTCAGTTCATCTCAGAGCACTCTCTTCTTGTGTCCCATATAGTATATAGAGCTCCTGATGATCTTGTGATAGGTTTAAAGTCCAACAAAGACAGTTTTTGCCTTTTGGGCTCTTTCTTGTTGTCTGAATGTGACTTGTGAGTTACACATGAAGAACCAGCTCACGTAGGGCAAAACCTACAAATCCGGTTAATTAATTTATGCAATACGAGGATCCAAGCTTCACAGTCACTGTACTTTCAAAGCTACCGCCATTATAAGCGACGGTATATTATATCCCCACAGAGAAAACAAACCCTACATGTCATTGATCTTTGTCCTCGCGTCAAATAATGAAGTTGCTTCGACTTACTAATGTAATGCTGACCCGAAAACCTTCTAACGGTGAGTGAATTGCTGAACTGAAATTGCACAGTAGGAGAGCACATTCTTATATTACAATATAATTGACAAATTACACGCTACAGATTTGCACACCGCATACCAGAGGAGGTGCAATAATTAGCACGACACTATAAAAAAGCATGGAAATAGCAGTAGAAAATATGGTGCAACTAATTTGTGTATGTATGGACTAATTGTAGTTTAATCATGGGGAAATCTTCTCTGGGCGAGTTGAAGCTGGGCGTTTACAAGGGGAATGGGGTGGTGGAGGGAATGGGAATATTGGAGGGAGAGGAGGAAAGGGGAAGGACGGTGGGGGAGGAGGAGGTGGTGGTGGCGGAGATGGAGTGAATCCGGGTAGTGGTGGGAAAGGAATTGGTGGCAGTGGCGGGAATGGTGGCAACGGAGGAAAAGGGAATGATGGTGGCGGAGGCGGCGGGGGAGTAAATCCCGGTATTGGTGGGAACGACGGCAGTGGAGGGATAGGGAAGGGGAATGACGGCGGTGGCGGCGGGGTCAGCCACGGGATTGGTGGCAAAGGAATGAATGGCGACGGTGGCGGTGTCAACCACGGGATCGGTGGCAGAGGAATCAGTGGCGGTGGCGGCGTCAGCCATGGGATTGGTGGCAAAGGGATTAATGGCGGTGGTGATGGAAATGGGAAAGGAAATGATGGCGGCGTTAGCCCTGGGATTGGTGGGAGAAAATTTTTCGAGGGTATCGAGTTTTTCTTGGAACTGAACTTGGGAACTCCTGGAGCTGGACCTTCGGTGCACCTGCCCGGTTGTTTCGGGGGCTTGAAAGTGAGAAGCCCTGCCGAGAATATGCGGAGTCCGTGCCTCATTGACTTTAGTCGAAGCGAAGATGAAACACCTAAGGACACGGTGCTGCAGCCCGGATCGCCGCTTTTCATCAGCTTCACTGCGCAGCCCTCGACTCTCTGCACATATTTGCCCATCGAAGGCAGTAAACGGACCTTGAATTTTCCATGCTTATTCGTCCTCACTTCTCGTCGGAAGCTCAGGCTCGAGCTCGAGTTTCCGCATTCTATCGAAACATATGCACCTGCATACACACGCAAGTTGGTGGAATTCTGTTTTTAGACACAAATTGGAGCTATAACACATGAAGTCTAGGTAACAAAAAAGGCTCGAGCTCGAGTTTCCTCATTATATCGAAACATATGCACCTGCATACACACGCAAGTTGGTGGAATTCTGTTTTTAGACACAAATTGGAGCTATAACACATGAAGTCTAGACAACAAAAAGAATGAAATCACAGGAAATCACTATCTCTTTACGTTTGGTGATGAGTAAATTGGACCTGAAATGAAGTGACTGGTCCTTGAGAACTCTTGCTTGAAGCATTTGTCACAGAAAACAGTGCCCACAACTAGTGCAGATGGAACCTTCTCTTCATGGGCAGCCTCCGAAACATCTAATATTCTCAAACTGAGAAAGATAATAGCTATCAGAAACCTAGGCATTGGCATTCTGATATGCTTCCCTTTGCTCTCATAACATTCTTCTTTGGCTTTTTATATGGACCTCCTGGCAATCTTTAGTTCTGTGTTAGATTGGGTTTACTAAGAGATAAGTTTGCTTCCTATGTCTCTTTCTGTTGTCTGAGTCTGAGGCACACTTGAACCAACCATATCAATGTTCAGTAGCCGGTTTGATGTATTAATGTGAACACAAGCCGTTTCCAATCATTCAAAAAGAAAGTGAAAAAAAGGGCACAAGCACTTGGGTTCGATTAACAGGACTTAGGAGGTGAACCGAGGCTTGAAAATGACATCGAGGACGCGATTCAGACGCAGTAATTGAAAGAAACAAAAGGAGGGAGAGGTGATTTTGGGATGGAAAAAAGGGTAGATAGAGGAGAACTCTTGCATGCCTGGGGGTCATTGTTGGCTCACACATGGTGTCCCCTTTTGTTTCTTTGTTGATGTGAAACCGCCAATAAAGAATCTAATCGGGACCCATTTGAGTCACGAGAAATGTAGAGTAGCCACACACAGATTCTCTCTTTTTGTCAGTTCTTGTAGTCATCTTTCAATCCAATAACCAAAGAAAAAGAAGGAGAAGAGAGAAACAGCCCATGTTGAGTCTGAGGATGACTATGTGTTGGAACTTGAAGTCTCTCAGAATTGCAGTCCACATACAATGTTGGAGCTTTGTTGTATCCATCCTCCATAGAGAAAGGATTGGTTTGTCATTCCATTTATCGAACCGGTGGAACACATCGATTAAGGCGACCCAATCATAAGGTTAAACGCAGTTATATCGGATAGGTACTTTCTGCGTGTTTGAGATTGACGAGCTTGTTCACTTCATCAATTCGCTAAGCCAGGTTTAAAACTGTCTTATTCCGCTAAGACTACGTTTCTTTTCCCAATCCTTGTTTTTGAAACACCAAGATTGCCTTTTCTTGTCCTGTTCTTCCGAACATCGTTGTCTTCACGGGGTTCCAAGAAATCGAAGTTCAATGCTTCACGGGCAGGCTTTAGGGTTCTGAACATGGGTCTCTTCTTCTCAAACTGTGTCAGCTAAGAGTTCAAACGTCGCTTTTGGTTGGAAATTATTTGGGTTGATGATGACTGATATTTGTCCGGCACGAAATAGATTGGGACATGATGGTGGGCAGGCTCTTTATGTACGATCCTATGGACACTTTCTTCAATCAAAACATATATGATAAGCTCTAACTTCTTCTGTACGAATATTGACTCTTGAGTTTAGTAGAGGGTTAAAGCGATTGAGATCAAGAAACCCTGAGATCTCGGGCTTGAAGCCTGATTTTTAATTCTCTGATGCAAAAATCTCGAGGACACGAGAAACTATCTTACATAACTACTATGATAAGTATGTGGTGCGGTGAGCCATTTCACGTTTTAACCGCGAGATGGGAACATGTTTGTGTGGCCAAAGTTCGATCTTTGGGTCTCTTGAAGGACCCGATCGATTTCATCGAACCATAACAGTCTAGTCGGTCTCTCGGCAACAGGATAATTTATTGACACTGGAAGGCTCTCGAAGGCGGTCATGGGGGGATTAAATTCCCTTTGATTGGACTCGGATCTGGGATTTCATTCCATGATATGCACTTCACTACTGATGCATATACTTCACTCGATAAAGGACTTCTGTACTTCAAGAGTTTTAAAATGTCATAATTCTGGTGGTGACACATGATATATTCGATGCAGAAGATGCTTCATATGTGAGACAAGAGTCTATACACTTTTACATTAGAAGAGCTTTTAGATTATTGAACTCGAGTCGGACACCTTTTGAATTATTTGGTCTTCGGACATCCGCAGTCTACTGTTCTCAGTTCAGATGAAGCTCAACTTATCATTTCAAGTCCATCAAGCGATGTGATTGCATGAGAGCAGTAAGAAACTAAAAGTATAGTGTTAAGATCTAAACATATTCTGCACTGCGTTTTAACAGTTTTACATTTTTTTTAGTAAACGATTGCACGCTCGACCTTGAGTCAATATCAAAACTAGAGGCCTTTTCGATTCCTCGTGCCAGTCTTTTATCTATGTATGGCTGCGACGCCGTTCTTTATATGCATTGAAATTTCAGCAAGCCCTCATCCACGAGTTTTGGTTGCACAGGACACACGAAGCTCAGGCGACCAAATTGGCTTTTAGCACAAGGGGGATCGTTAAGATAGATTACATTTCGCGTCACGTTCTGATGGCTTTTGAAGCTGGTTAACGGTTGTGCGCACAATTTCAGATTCATATGCGGAATGCCAATCTTGATTCATTGATTCCGAGTGTGTCCTGGCAACTGCCTCTTTGGTTGGCTTTTGACAAAGCGTGCTGATGAATCAATGAAGCACGTGTGGAGTTAGGCTATGCAAGACAACTTCGTAATTTCTTGTGTACTAACGAATAAAACAACCAGAATTCCTACGATCCAGTCGAGGGATGATATAAGTTCACGCATTCGTTTCCCAGTTCTTATATATTCTAAGACAATGCTCTCACCGGAAAGCCAAGCTTGAACTCAACTCCTTTCCTCTCCTTCCCATGTCTTATTGAATGATGCTCCCTAACTAGCAGCACCTATGGCAAGCCATGCCAAACTCTACCCAATTTGGCCAACCTGGACGTGCAAAGCCAAATTTGAATTTGTTTCCCATTAAGTGGTGGCTGCAATTTCACACCTTCACTCACTGGACTGACTATAAATTTCCAGAACTGATGATTCAATTCGCATTTCTAATGCCATGTTGCATATCATATACTAGCTGATAGATTCGAATCTTCCGATTGTCGCATCATTTATGCGACTCTGAACCCCAAGGACACATTCATCTCGCTATGGCACTGTGCTCGGAGGGGGAAGATGTTTGAGAACCACGTGCCAATAGGTGTTGCGGCCAACAAGTTCTGCAGCGGGGTGGTTCCATTCGGACCATATTATGAACATGTCTTGAAGTATTGGAAGGAGAGGCTGGCTAGGCCGGGGAATGTGTTCTTCATTACCTATGAAGAGCTAAAAGACGACCCGAAGCGTCATGTGAAGTGGCTCACGTCATTGCCATTCTTAGGTTGTCCTTTCAACGTTGATGGTGAAAATAAGGTTGTCAAAGAGACTGTGAGGGAATGCAGCTTTGAGTGCATAAGCAAACATGAGGTAAACAAATCCAGCAATTCACCAACATGGTTTGAATTGCCCTACCACCACCACTGGAAAGATGTTACAGCAAAATTGTTGTTTCAACTTCAACCCATTATTTGGTAGACCATAACAACGAGGAAACAATTATTTTGAGGCACACAAATCCAGCAATTCACCAGCATGGTTTGAATTGCCCTACCACCACCACTGGAAAGATGTTACAGCAAAATTGTTGTTTCAACTTCAACCCATTGCTCGTAATGAAGAAACCGTTTCTGAAGCACCACCCACCGTCGAGCGGACGCCGCCTTGTCGATGGAAGAGATTCGCCAGGCTCATCACCATAACTTTTTTCTCAAACAAGGATAACTTCAAACATAAAATCAATGGAGTGGGCCAAATTTGGGATTTAAATGAAAGTTCGTGCTTTTTACAAAAGACAAAAAAGTCGTAAGTAATCGTCACCTCGGCTTTAAATGTTGGTCTTTTATGGAAAAAAAGTTCGCCTAAATTCTGTCCTCCGACCTTAAAGTTAATGCTTTTTTGGAATTAACCCCAATTATTTTGAGACTCGAACTTTTCAGGAATTTAGAAACCATGGACGAACTCATCGGACACGGGTGGACAGTGACTTACCAGCGCAGTCCATGACTGAAGTATGCTCTCGGGATCCCCACCGATGCATATTGATATAATTGAGACGGCCCGGTTGATATGCTTATGGGTAACAGATTTTGCTCACAAAGACTTTCTGTTGTAAGACAGTCGGAGATTGATGAATACATCACATGGTAAACTGAACCTTGCACACCATTATTTCTGCATAAATTACATTTCCAAGGACAGCTGAACAAATCGACCTTCTATCCACTCTTAAAAAATGAAATTCAACCATAATAATAATGCAAATCTCGTTTGGTAACTATCAACACGTCATGTATTCCTCATGTGACACCCTTCTCAAACAATACAAAATTACAATCACAAGTTGCTGCAGGCAACTCGAGACGACTCAAGTGGCATCAGTCTTCATTCTCAGCCAAAGAACAGTGGCAAAGTGAACCACCAGAGTCAAAGCTATAATAAACATTTTATACAGAAAATGCTTCTAAAGAAGCAACACAATCACACTATACAGAATCCAACAACGTAGGCGGACGATCAGTGCTGATGAATCTCAACCTTTATCACAGAGATTGTGAAATTTTCCCTCTCAAGTTGTCAAAAGTATCTGGGAGGAGTAAGCAGTAAATACCACAATAATGCCAACTGCTTCTGGTCCAATGTAATTATCCTGGAACTTCAATGTCATAAGAACCATTAGCAAGTTAAATTTAGGAACTTGTTCCAGAACCAGGCAATTGAAGATTGTCCTCAGAGGTTCCTTGAGCTGGGCTCACAAGAGTTCCTTATCGTAAAACGCAAGAAGCTGTTTGACATGGTTATGCCAAGTGGCGACATTTTGACCATCAACTGTAACCCAGTCAACAACAGTTGCTGCAGGCTGCTCCCACCATTCATCAAGCTGCCAATGTCAAAACCAAGAGTCAGGCATGACCAAAATAAGTCTGTAGCAGAAATAGAAGACATGTGAATCAGTTCATTTCATTCACTCTAGCCATAAATTCTACAAGTTACTTTACCGCAACAGGAACGCAGAAGTCAATGCCACTTCTACCAAATCTAAGATACAAGCAAATATCTCGCTCAGTGAAAAAAAGAAAAGTATAAGCACATATGTACTAGTCAGCAACTATGAAGATACAATCTCCAGCTGACAGTTGACATCATGTAGGCATTTCTTAAAAAGTGAACCAAATGCCTCGTACATTCTGATATAAGCTAAGGCCTACACCCTGTACTCAAACGTCATGTGATATTTGATGGGAAAAAATGGGTGATTCCGACAATTTGTTGGTCATTCGTGGTACTCACCAAACCCGCAACATATCTGCAATCTTCAAAGCAATTATGAGCATTTGACACTGCAGCCTTAAGCTCAGGCAACCACTTATCTGTGACAATTTTCTCTTGTTCGGCAGCCAAATTCAAACAGTAGCTAGTAGCCCTGAAACGTGCAATCTTAGCTGTTATACTCAAAACCAGATATTCTGAAACATAAAAATTTTATGAGAACAAGTACAGTATGAAAGGCTAAATTGTGCAAATCTCAAGGTAAAAAGGATGAAAAACATGCAAGGACTTGAAAAGGTTGAAATTTGACTCGGTGGCCTAAAAATACTCCACGACAATGAAGGATGCATTTTTTCTTACTTGCTGCTCAACGGGATGGAGGTTAAATTGAAAAAGAAATGCACAAAGTACATTTTCAAGTTTACAGTCCACCGGTCCAGATATATCATAACTGATGAATATTTTCTCTTCCTGAAAAGTAAGTGAAATCTAATAGCCCATCCATATATATGGTCCTTGTCACCTCTTCCTGGCCTCAAAATGGATTCAACTAATTGACTAGAATGCTGAAACAAGTATGCATGGACAGGCTTCCAGCAACATTGGATGAGAAGTAAAAGAAGAAGCAAATAGCCTAAAAGTAGCCTCAAACATAAGAAGATAAGTACACCTTTCATATTCTTGCAGAGCACGGTATGCGTGGTTTAGCAATGTATGACTGCTTTCCACAAGGTCCTGCCGGACATGCACCAAATTGATGGCTTTTGCCAAGTCCTCCAACACACTAGCCTCAGAACCACGTAGTTTTAAACAGAAGTCCAAGGACTCTAGTACTGACGCTAAAGCAGCATCTGACCCCTCCATACCTACATTGATGAACAAATAATTAACATAAATGAATTATCCACAAAGGCTAGCACTGCTGCAATTATTAAGCCCTCATGAAAACTCCAGGAGGACATAGAACAGAGACTGACTCTGTTGTATATTAAAAGCGCAGCTCTAATCTGAGCAGTTGATTAGACATTGGAGTAGAGGACAACTGGATCTCTTCATGTAGTTGATCTATCCCTATCACCATAAAATTCAAATACACCACGTCCTACAATTACAAGTCACCAAAAGCTCTTAAATCCAAGCCAGAGAAGAATCTAATTTAAAACAGTGCAATGGCACAGACATCCTGACACATAAAAGCACAACCATCAAAAGAAATTCAATTTCAACTAGTCTCTGGCCCAGTATCATGGCTAAGATGTCATTTATAGTGCTTTGACTGACAAGAAAATGCATGCCCACTCTCTTCCAGAAACTTTCTCCATAAAGATCCATTTAACTCACCAGCCGGATACTGGAGAGCAGCAGAAACACGGCATATCGATGGCACAGCTGACGGATCCCTGGCTCCAGCTCTTGCAGTCAATAAAGCAGCATTTTTTTCAGCAGCAGCAACAGCTTCAGGTCCTGTGGATCCACTAGAACCCATAGACTCCAGGAGTGCCTAACATAAATCATGAAGGTAATATTCAAATATGAACTACAATGGAAAGAGAGAGGCGCGTGTTGAGTTATTACAATTACATCACAAGGACTCTAAATCTCTATCTCTTGATCAAGTGTCACAATACAATCATAATGGAGATTGTAATTTGATGCTACCCCACTTGGGAGTTAAAGCATCAAAAGTGCCCGTTTATAAATGATAAAATAGTGAAGCGTTGAATATGTAGTTAATTTATGCAATGCCAACTAGCCTTTTTGTATAAATATTTATCAAAGAGAAAAATAAATAAGAGGGCCCCTCATCATACATAAAATACAAAACCAGTGAGAAAGATTTTGCAGATTAAGTCAATAAGGTAATACCAAGACAAGTTCAAGAACAAAAGTCCTAAGAACTAAGAAGCCTCATGGAGGAAATCTCACTCAAACTTTCTGTCTTCTAATTTTCTCATGGACTCTTCCCCATTGTCTTGTGAATCATTTCAAAAACATGTTTCCTTCAAATCACACATCACAAAAGATGACACAGAAATAAAGCTTTGTCACAGAATAGCTCATGGAAAGGGAGAACAAGTTCTTTACAAACAATGCCAACAATAAAATCATGGAGGAACATGCTACCAAACCATTTCTTATGAAAACAGAGCGAAAGGCATGCGCCATTATATTTTGAAAGGAAAGGACCAAAGTCACTATCACACAACCATAACAATTCATGAAGCACTTGCAATATGAGAGTATTATCAATCTCTACACCTAAATTTGAACAGACGTGCAGCTTTTTAATTCACAATAGATATTCTTTGAAGCGGCGGACCAAAAGAGCAAGTACTCTCTATATATCACCAAAACTACCAGACCAACAAATTTTAGGTATTGCACTTCTGACACAGCATATCCGAAATTATCATTTGTTTCAAGTTCTCTAGACTATATCCAATCTGATTATGAAATAGGATAAAAATATTTAGACCAAGAGAAAAACAACTAATTGCCACAACAAACCAGTTGGATTTTGTAAACAGCTATATTTTCCTCAAACTCTGATTAGAGGAAACATCCTCCAACCACCCTTATGATTGGTGGGTTACAAATTATGAACATCCCCCACATGCAAAATTAACTAACTGGGATGTGAGTGATGCCATGGTTGTAACCCACCAATCAGAATAATAGCTCTTTAAAAATGGTAGCCAGAAACTTAAACGCCAAGTCGCCAACATTACTGACAAGAAAAATTAGCATCTAGCTATAGGTTCAATGATATAAATTTCCTTCATAAATACCTGGGGGGTTGATGGGAGCATGTAGAGGCTGTTATCCGGACTTCTGCAGAAGGCAGAAACTTCTTTATCGAGTAGATCTTTTGCACTGTTTGAGATGTCTATCACAATTGTGCATACCGGGATTATAGTGCTTGCTGCATATTCCCTGGCGACTAATGGCTGCTGATTCCAACAGGCTGCAGCATCCTACAATATTTTCCAAATGAACAAGAACTTTATGGTCCCCTAAAGAAGCAATAGCATTGCACTTATGCAGCCCAGAATGAATTAAATTCAACCAGAGAATCAAACTCCACCAAAGTAACTAAACCAGTTCAGAACCGAGTGATGAAAAAATAGATCCACACTACTTATAGTCCTCAATACTATTCAAAAGTCATTCTTGTTGTCAAAAGTAGGGGAACATTCCAGAGGTCAGAA